ATTACAGCGTAAAGAACAAATCAAACAATAGGGAGGCACATAATCACAACTAAGCCTATGTAAACTTTACGCCATTCACTGAGTTTAGTCTTCACCTTCAAAGGGTGGAAACCAAAGGGGAAAAAAGAAAGAGAGAAAAACCTAACTTATTTTATGGGAGGTCAATGGGCTAACTGGCTGTTGCTAAAGAGTTGACAGACCAATTTCAATATACATAGGAGGGATCATCTGATGGATGGTTAAGTACAAATTGAACTTATTTCACTCTTTTACTTTAGTGTACCACAATACCATGTTTTGATCGAATTACTCTCTATAAAAGGCACATAATAGTCTATATTTTTTTAAAATTTATCCAAAAGTAGCAGGACACTATTTTGAAGAGGCAGCTGTAATTTATGCAGTGGACTCCTCTGAAATGATCAAGGTAGACAGTAAGAAATTGCCATCACAAGGATTTATTTTTCAAGAGCTGCCTTGAACATTACAGCTTTGGGGCAAAAGTCTTACCAGAAAATATTACCTGCTTATGAATGAAGAAGTTGGAGTGTTGCACCACTATCTCAACGTACACATGAGAATTATACTATTTTGATTGGGGAAACAGTTATCTCGTGTAACCAACAAAGCTTTTTGGCAAATAACCTCATTAGTATCCGAGTCCCAAAGATCACCCTCCGCCGAGATGGGAATCTTCTTCTCGTTCTCTGAGACATGTCCAATAAATTCATCCCCGAAAATGAAAAGTCTGGAATATCATATCCTCCCTCACAAGCAAGAGCTTCAGCAAAATCAGCTGTAAGTTCTGGAAAATCCCATCCAGGATGAACATCACCTGACACAGAAATTCCTATTTCCTTCGTATCAGCTTTTGTTTCAGCTTTTGTTTCAGCTTTTGTTTCGTGTGTAGGCGTCAAAGTCAAATTACCCAAAGAAGAGACAAGCAACTTCTGAAATTCATAAAGTAGAAACTGAGAAAGTGAATTCACCTCATTTGTCAAAGCAACCTGAAATAAATCCTTCAAATTTGCAAATTCATCAATCTCAGTTTTCCGTTCAATACTATGATCATCCACAATAGAAATCATACCCAACGACTGATCAAATGAATCAAGATGCTCAATATCGGCCTGAAGTAATACACCCGAAATGGAAATCATAGTTTCACAGGACCGATAATCCTCATTAAAAGGTATAAAGTCTAAATTATTATTGGAACCCGTAGTAATTGAAAAGATTTCACCTAATTCTTCTTCAATTGTCAGCTTTTTGGAAATGTTTGCATTCATCAACATAATAGCTCGTGTAATCCCCGTAAGAAAAATGTTGATCTCATGCCCATTCCACCCTCCCAGGAATAAATAAAGAATCACCTCCCTTCTCAACTATTCATATAAATCCTCCGTAAGAATTGGCATCATACAAAACAATAAGAGATTTATTCAACTCAACCCTCCAAAACCTCCTTTCAAAAAGGATCTTGAGTATAGAATCCTTTAACCAATTAACTCCCGCAATATCAAGATTCACAACTGATGTTAATCCCCACTTCGTTTCGGAGATGCAAATCGTGGAGTCAATAATTTTAAAGTGAAAATTCTTACTCTCAATGGAGAAATCAAATTCTTCTGCATTTTGAGGAGCCATCCATTCATCGTGAAACTTTGCTTCAGCTTTCCTCCCTCTTCCACCCGATGGCCACTGTTGATTGCCTCAAGATCTGTACGAGCCCCAATCTATTCGGCAGGGTTGAATTCGCTCACCCCAAATCCGTTCACATGCTCCAACCGACCATTTGGGGACTGCCCTAGGGGCGGGCAAAAATACCGAACCGACATGGTACCGAACCGAACCGACATGGTACCAGACCGAAAAATGGGTTTAGGTCTAAGATCGAACCGAACCGAACCGTTTGAATAGTAACGGTACGGGTACGGGTTCGGCCAAATATTGGGCCGGACCGGACCGCGCCCACCCCTACTGCCCTTCATCCAGCCATGTCTCCTCTGAAGGCAGGCCCTCCTTTTCTGGAGTAAAAGCCGGACTGCCATGGCCGCCGTGCCTTGTAACCACGCGCGCCCAGCTCCACCCTGCCTCGGGACTGGTCTTTCGCCTGGTCATCCGAACTGACGAGTGGAGCCCCACCTTCGAGTCTCCTGCTCTGTTTGCTAGCGGTAGTCTCCGATTCGGTGACGAAAATCACCGATCGGTACTCTAGCTCGCGCCGACGATGCAGATGGCATCCCCAAACCCTCCTCCACGTAGTATAATTACTATAATATATTTAATTAATTAATTATTTCTTTCATTCAGATTGTCACCATGTGATTGAATTTATTATGTAAGACCATTGTATTTATTTTCCATAAAATCTTTCTTTATTTATCAACAAAAAGTTATTTTAGATATAATATTTTCGCAAATCAATAAAATACTAAAAATCAACAAGATCAACTAGAGTTTTGTAAGTTTCAACATATTTAACCCATTTCACTCATTTCAATGTTATCCCCTTCGTCTTGTAGGAAGGTCCTCGTGGATAAATGTCACGATCTTTTAGGCAAGTTGTTAAATAAAGTAATTTTGGTTAAAAAGAGAGAAAAGAGAAAATTTTGAAAAAAAATAAAAATACAAAGTGAAAATAATTAAAGACGGATAAGTTGGGGAAGAAAAAATTGTGAGACTTGACATGTAATGATTAAATTTTTATTTGAGTAAATGTGTAATTAAAGAGAGTAAATCAATATATATATGTGTGTGTGTGTGTGTATACACACACATATATATAAGAGGTACTTTTTTAAGAGCATACGACATGCCACATAATCCTATCATGTCATCATATATAACATTTATGTAATATTTAATAACTTTTTATACCTATTATTTTTTATTACATTCTATTTTTATTGCATATTGATACGGAAACAAAAGAGATAGAATCCACCTTATTTGGCAGCTTTTTGAGAACTTATTACGGAGTACTTATTAATTTGGATACTTACTAAATTTAGAAATCAGAACCACAACAATTAATAGTTATTCGTACACATAGGCTATATTTTATGTCAATTATTCAATTACTTTTTATACCTTTTAGTTTTTATTAAATTCTATTGAAGAAATAAATTATCCTTGTTTTGCCCACCTAACAGATAAACCAACCAAATTCCTATTAATATTGTTCTTTAAAGTTATTTTATACACTTGGTCTAATATAAGTCGTTAGATAATACTAAAGTTTAGTATTTTATTTTTATAAAATAACTTTTTTTTACATTGAGTAATGATTCATTTTTTACATTTTCAATATAACGAAATAATGACTATAATATAAGAGTTCACTAATAAAATTCAAAAATTCTTTTTCATACCACGTTGAATGAGAAATATTGAAAAATAGTGTTTTGAGATGCCTAATAGAGTAATTTAATGTATGTGAGATAAACTAAGAAACTTTTGTGTGAATTCTTTAAAATCGGGTTCATAACAATTGTGTTTAGTTGGGGTGCTTATGTAGAAGTCAATTTTAAATACTATGTATTTTTTATATAATTTTATTTTATTTTATTAACGATATACGTAGTATATTTTATTTTTTCATAGTTCGGGAGATTTTGACAATTCAGACTAATGAGTTAGATTTAATTTAATTCATTATAGTAGACGATTTGACTAGTTTTAGTATTATGAAACGGCTGTATATTAGACCAAGTTTATTTTGCTTTTGCACCACATGAAGAGCCCGCTTGGTAACATCAAAACCAGCTGAATCGGTTGATTCTGCTGAAATTTATGAAGTTCTCGCAGAGGTGGCTACATTGGCTAATTTTGGTGATTTATGTAAAATTTATATTCAAATTATAGTTTATTAATTAAATAAAGGAAAAAAAGGAAAAAAAAAAAAAAAGATAAAATGGTCATCTACAGTAAATTCAGTCAATACATCTAGAAAAGTAACTCTAACCCTACATTTTCTTATTATTACACAATTGAGTGCACGAAATCAAAATTTACGTGTTTCAGGGAAAAGTTCATTGATAAACCTGATAATCCGAAAAATATGGTTACCAAATGGATTCTAAATTATACTACGTATATGATTATGAAAAAACAAATTTACAATTAGCTAAATTATGTACTACTCGTGCATCACACGGGTTTGAAAACTAAGTTATTTCCTAAAATGGAATGAAAACCTTTAAATGGAACACCCTAATATAAAAAGTGAGAACCTTTTGATAGAACGTGGAGTACCAAGTAGCTACCAAAAATAGAGTTCAAAACCTGCCAAACCAATAGGCCGCTTGATAACACAGTTTTTCGGCTTATCAGACTTATCAGCCAATTTTTTCACCAAACACGTAACTTTTTGCTTTCCGCGCTGAATTATATAATAAGCAGAAAAAGTAAGGCCGGAGTTATTTTCCTGGCTGTATTGGCTGAAGTTACATTTGATGATCATTTTAGTTTTTTTTACATATTTTTTTCTTTATTCTATAAATAAAATATATTTTTAATTTTTTTTCTTAAATTAGCAGAATTAGCCAATCCAGCCACTTCAGCCAGAAATTCATAAATTTAAGCAGAATCAGCCAAATCAACCAATTTTTGTGCTACCAAACGGGTTCTAAGAGACAGTTCGGTAACACTATTTTTTGGCTTATCAACCAACTTTTTCACCAAGCATATAATTTTTGCTTTCTCGCGCTGAATTGTGCAATAAGCAGAAAAAGTAAGGTTGATGTTACTTTTCTGGCTGTATTGGCTGAAGTTACCGTAGATGATTATTTTAGCTAATTTTACATATAATTTTTTCTTTGTTCTATTAATAAAATATATTTTAAAGTTTGCTTTACTAAATCAGCAAAATCAGTCAATGCAGCCCCTTCAATCAGAATTTCATAAATTTCAGCAGAATCAGTCAAATCAGCCAATTTTTGTGTTACCAAACGGGTTCTAAATGTTTTAATGTCATTGGGCCAAAGTGTGATCCAATCCACTTAGAAAACAACACGCCCATGATCCGGAATAACCTAACCCTGCTTTCGCTTGTATTTAAACCAAGACCATCCGATTTTCCGTCTCTCCACGCCTCACATCTCAGGCAGACGGTCGGCGCAGCCTACACCCCGCCGTTCGAATCCTCAGGTTAGCTCAACTATTACCGACTCTCTTCTTATTTTATCAGTTCTTGTTGTTTGTTCTTGCATATCCTTTTTTTTCGAAACAGTTCTTGCATATCTTATATCGTATCAGCTGCGAATATATATGTAGGTTATAGAATGTTGTTGAGCGTCGTTCTTTATCTGTTCTTTCTTTTATACGATGCATGATTTTCTCAATTAAGGAGTTGTAATTATATGTAACCCTATGACCAACCAATAAACTGGCAGTGTTGCCTTTGTACGTAGACATTTATCCCTGGCGGTCCAGCATTTATATATAGAGATTTAAGTTGTGAAAGTTTTACATCTTAAGATGTTTTGTTGTGGTTTCATTATTGATTTTTAAATGAAATTTTCGGGTGTAGATTTTGGTGTGAGAGAACTATCTTTTTAGTTTAATATGGAGACAGGGAACATAGCGTTCACGTATAAATTGTAAATTTCTTATTAGCCTTAAAGGATGGTTCTCCCAGTCTTTACTTATTAGCACGCATTTTATTAGTATATTTGCAATACATTCTCTTGTTCCATGCATTTGATATGGGAAGTATAGTAACTGAATATGCTGGTTGTCATTCCTCTCGTATTGTTTTTAGGTAAGAAGAAATGGTGAAGCATAACAATGTTGTGCCAAACGGTCACTTCAGGAAGCATTGGCAAAACTATGTCAAAACCTGGTTTAACCAACCTGCCAGAAAAACCAGGAGGCGCAATGGTAATTTGCTACTTTTTACATATTGCGTGGGCGATCTTTAGTTTCTATCTGCAAGATTGCATCTTGCTGAAACTCATGTCTACTGGTATATCAATAAAATATGCAGCTAGACAAAAGAAAGCTGTTAAGATTTTCCCCAGACCCACTGCTGGTCCACTCCGTCCAATTGTCCATGGGCAAACATTGAAGTACAACATGAAAGTCAGAGCAGGAAGAGGGTTTTCACTTGAAGAGCTGAAAGTAATTCCTTAACTCTTATCTGTGAAATCTAGGGTGTATGAGGATGATGTTAACCACTAGCTGGGTTCCAACTGCTACAACTCAGCATTAAAAAACTTTTCAACCATGATGTGATTCTTAAGACATCATGTGATTCTTAAGAGTAAATTTTGAAGTAATGCTCAATTGACACCAAATGCTTTTGACTCTCTGCATTTGTTAACATACTTCTTGTTAAATGGTTAGAATGACCATTTCTTCGTGGAATATGCTATTTGCTGAAGTAAGAGCATGCACTAGGTGGTGCACCCTCTCACTTTTGAGGCAAATTTAGAAATGGTTTATAATCTAAATTCGAGTTTGTCCTTTGGAGTGCATGCAATCAAACTTGTAATCTTATTTTTAAAACAAATATTTTCTTGAACCTCATCATATTTGTCTACAAAATGATTTTATATACAGTTGTGCCTTTTATAACTTGCAAAAGCAATTTTTGTTGTATCTGTACGACTTTCATTCATTAAAAACAACTCTTCAGCAAACTTCTTACAAACCAAATCTTGGACAATTATGTAGTATAGTATTACAGAGTTGTAGTTACAATGGTGCTTTTCTAAAAGCTTTTTCAAACACAGTTTGATATTTAGGGTGTCATTTTAATGGGAAAAAATGGCACCCATATTACTATTGGACTTTTCAATTCCAAAAATATGACCTTTTGACCTTTTCCCAAAAACTAACTTCTGCCTATTTAAACGGACGGCTAACTTAATCTTCTCCTAAAATCAATTTATTTCGCCTCTTATTTCTCTTCTTTTCCGCTATTATCTCTCTCATGTTAACGCCAATTCCTCTCTCAACCCTTCCTACTTGGAAACTACCATCTTCGTCTTATTCGCCACCTGGAGGAGTTGCCTGCTTTTGTTATTTGTTCTTTCTTTTCATGTGATCATTAATGTCTTCATTCCATTCAAGTGCAAAATCTAATGACGGTTTATGTTTACATCTCTGGCCAGTAACATCTTCAACCACCATTCCAAATATCATATTTGCCCTTTTTGCTTTTAATTTTACAAGGAAATTCGATTTTATAATAAAAATTCATGGCATACCTCTAAGATCCATAGATATTGGTGTAAGTAACTGTGTCCATCTCTCAATATAGATGTCCACCGTCTTTGTTTTCATTTCATGCAACTTGCCTACCTTTTGCATGGGAACTACTTGGAAATTTGAATACTCGTATACCAGTGACTACACCTTTTAAAGACCAATCCTGAACTACACCTACTTAACCACAGTAGGTTGAATTACTATACATTTTTTATCAAGTCACTATTATAAATTTCACAGCAGTGACTCATGCACACTTCAAAAACACATTACACATCTTAGTGTCTCATATTAGCTTTTGTATTTAATTCAACACCCCTGTACTACGCTATCTACCAGTCACTGCTATTGCCCTACATAATACATCGGAAACCAGTCGACGGGGATTCAGACATGCTTCATGCATGGACTGCAAATTTAATCCCCCACTATTTAGCAGAACCCTCATGATAAAGAATAAAACAGATATGGTTTTCTCATTTCAACATTAATTAATGACACCTATTCAAAATATATCTTAATGATGCCCTAGATGATTTATTAGTACCTTCGTCCCTCTCTTACCTTGCAACTGGACATTCTTTGTTGTCCTCAAAAAATTATTCCTGCAAGTTGCCATATGTTGTTTTCGATCCGCCGAAAACAAAGTTTTAAAATAATATTACTCCTCCTTTCTCACCTTCAGTTATAGTACTCCATTCAAACCATTTAATGACCCTTTTTTTGTACGGTAATCGCTGGTAATTAAGTAGTTTTCATATTTTAAACCCATGTGGGTAGCATCGTAATCATATTATTGGCACAAACTTTTTTAAGTCACTTTTTTGTCTTTAAGGCTCTATTTAGTATTATACTTAAGAAAGGCCTTTTAGGGGCTATGACATGTACTCTATCTTTGTATGAGGTTCTCCTTTTACAGCAAAGGGAATGAAAATTTTAAATGGGATGTGTAGTGATATATTCTTTGTCCAGGTCATTTATGGATTTAAGTGCTTATTATCTCTGTATTGTACTAGGCTGCTGGTATTCCCAAGAAGTTGGCCCCAACTATTGGTATTGCAGTCGATCATAGGCGAAGGAACAAATCTCTTGAAGGCCTTCAGACCAATGCCCAGAGGCTCAAGACCTACAAAGCCAAGCTGGTGATCTTTCCAAGGCGTTCTAACAAATTTAAGGCAAGCTTCGAATTTGTGTATAAGGGACCTTTGTTTTTTGAGTTTTATATTTTTACATACAATTTGCTTTGAAAATATGGGCTCTAGCAAAATATTAAACAAACCCTCATCTTTCATTGCAGGCTGGTGATTCAACGCCTGAGGAACTTGCAAATGCAACACAAGTCCAGGGTCCGATTTTGCCTATTGTCAGGGAGAAGCCTACTGTTGAATTTGTTAAGGTTACTGAAGAGATGAAATCATTCAGAGCTTATGACAAATTACGTCGTGAGCGCGTGAACAAACGACACCATGGTGCTCGTCTGAAGAGGGCAGCAGAGGCAGAAAAAGAAGAAAAGAAGTAATCTGTTCAGCTGCTTAGTTATTTATCGTTGTCTGTTTGGGATTTCACCCAAATCAACAGTTTTTGATATTTTCATTGGAATTGAGGTTTTCTATTATCCAAACTAATCACAATATGTTATTCTCAGATGTTTTTGGTTTCTTTAGAAGTCCACTGAGTTGTGTTTTATTTTCTGTGCATCAATGTTGCATTAAGCTTTCAAGTTTCAACAATCTCTTCATATATTCTGGTAGAAGCTGGGCTAGTCATGAACTCATGAATCACTTAAAATGCCAATTAATCCCTCAACATTTTTGAAGTTATTTCATTTACATTATTGTGTTATTCATTTACAGTAGATTTTTTTGTCACTATTGATAAGCGTATATTTGCTATTCTCCCGAGTAAACGGTCAGTTTGGTCCTTGAAGTTGCAAAAAAGGGGTCAAATAAGTCCTTATATAGAAGATTCTGTCCGGACGTGCCATTTGAGGTGGCTTCCGGTAGAATTTTTTGATTTAAATTTTTTGAGCATCTTATTCATAATTGTGCTTTTAACGGCACAGTTATCTTCAAGAATTCATTTGAATGTCTTCCCTATTGAATTTTTATCTGAAATTTCGTATGAGTAAACTAGACTTAATGAGTAAGATTGTCAAAAAATTTAATCAAAAAATTCCACCGGAAGCCACCTCAAATGGCACGTCCGGACAGAATCTTCTATATAAGGACTTATTTGACCCCTTTTTTGCAATTTCGAGGACCAAACTGACCCTTATCCCCTATTCTCCCCACCCGCCGCCAATTTGTTTGGTTTATCCACACGTTTGCATATTGCGAATTTGAAAATCTTTAAAAATATTCTGAGAATTCCTACCAGAAATAGGGATGGACTGGGCCCAGTCCGGTTCTGGTTTGGGCCTGGGCCTAGCTGGGCTGGGAAGGTTTTGGGTAAGGCCTGGAACCGACTTGGGAGTCTACCGGTTCCGGTTCATCTTTTTTTTTTGTTTTTTCTTATTTATTTCAATCCCCATCCCCCCATCCCTCAAACCCCTCACATACACCTAGCGGCTAGCGCCCACCTAAACCTAGCCCAAACAAAAAAAAAACAAAAAAAAGGGCCTGAATTAGGTGTGGACCAGCCCGGCTGGTTCGCCTAGGCTCGGAACCGGAACCGATTTTCCGGGACGGGTCGGTACAAATAGTACCGGTCCGGGCCGGGCCGGTTGGCCCGGAACCGGTCCACCCCTATACTTGAACATTGTGCTCGTGGTTGTAAACGAATCAAATAATTTGTGTTCGATTCGCGATTCGAATTCGGAAAATTCAAATACAAATTCAAATAAGAATATTAATCAAATATATTCGATTAATAATGAAGGCAATATTAATATCAATATTAGTAATAATAGTAACAACACTATAATAACTTTTAAAAGATAGCAATACCTAGGCATGGACCCGGTTCGGCCCGCCCGGCCCGCCACTATGGGTACCGGAACCGGCCCGGTTCTCGGGTCCGGGTCCGGGTCGGGCCTAGGCCCGGTGGGGGGGGTCCGGGCTCGGGCCTTGTATTTGGCGAACCGGCCCGGCCGGGTCGGGCCCGGGTCCGGGCCTAATTGATATTTTTTTTTCATTTTTGGGGTAGACCCGGGTTGGGCTTGATGGTTAGGAGGGGTTTGGGGGTTTGGGGGGGGGGGGGTGAGGGGGGGGGGGGTTAGGAAAGCAAAAAAAAAAAAATTAACCAAACCGGAGGCCCGGCCCGGCCCGGACCCGGACCGGACCCGGTGGCTACCCGGGCCGGTCCCGGGCCTTCCTTCCCAAAAAAAAAAAGCCCGGCCGGGCCCGGCCCGGGTCCATGACTAGCAATACCCTCAAAGTGTAGCCCATATAAACATTTTTGCATACAGATTCCAAGCCAATTTGTAATAAACCAGAATATAAATACGAATACAAATTAATTTTTGGGTTCAAATGTCTTTCAAATACAATACAAATAATTATGTATTCGATATGAAGAATAAAATTAGAGCTGTTTGACTTTGATCCCTATAATTATCAACTTATTTCACACATTATGAGTATAATTTGTAATGTGTGTGTTAGTGTTTACTTCAAAAAGTTTGAAATAGATTTACATTTATTAATCATAAAATTAATTCACTTTAGTATATTGTGCAACATCTAAAAATGCATTGATATGCTAAATTTAAATTCTAAATTTAAAACGCATATTAAGTCATAGCAGACATTTGCAAAAAAAAAGTCATAGCATGCATTTACAACATAAAAAATACGGAGTATAAGAAAAGTTATTTTAAAGTGATATTTGACTAATATTTAAACTATGCTCAAATTGATTCGATATTCGTATATGATTCGTTAACTATTCGTATCGTTAAACAAATACAAATACAAATCGAAGTTAATATTCGTTTCATATTTGAATTCGAATTCGTATTCGAAAAAATTAAACAAATACAAATACAGTACAAAATCTCATTATTCGACTCGATTCAATTCGTTTACAACATCGTGCCATGCAATAGCTTTATTCTTATATTGTTCAAATTTGATTCTTCAGCTTTGACACTTGCAGACTGTCCAAGTTATATCCTGGATCACAAAAAAAACTCAAAACTATTAAATTCCAAATTGAATTTGTTATGAAGTATAATTATTAGTAGTCTACACTGTACAGCCAAGCCTAAATACACTAAATGTAGTAAAGAACTGAAGAATATCCATGAGAGCTATGGAGAAGTAAACATTATTAGAATGCCCCAGAGAACATCATGAGTGCCAGATGAAAAAAGTATAGCATTTAAAAGAAATATAGAAGAAGAGAGGTTTAGGTAACAGAAATATAACACAATCTTTTAAATATGATTGGATTTCTATTGAAGACAAAAGAAGAGAAGTAGTAGACCTCATTTTTGAAAAGATTCGAGTAACAAGAGGATAAAGTAACTACTTGGTTTTGCATACCAGAATAATGAGAGTACATCAACGTAGCAATAGTAATTAGTAACACTAGCTAATTAGAACGTTTTTATTCACGATATACTCTAATCTATTTCCAAATCACCATTTCAATTGTTGTTGATATATACGTAGTATTTTTTTAATTATATAAAAAACTCCATATAGGCAGTCTTTATTTTCAAATAGTCTTTATTACAAGGGAATTCCTAATTTCTTTATAATAATGGATTTGCTACGAAACCATATTAGTTCTTCAAAACTTGAGAATGAAAGTGTCTGTAACTTTGTTAATCTAAAAAAAGTCATTGTAATCTAATATGGTAGCCAATTTTACCATGTTTCTTTTATCATCTACAGTATCTCCTCCTTTATGGGGTAGATTAATCTAATTTGAAGTAAATTTTCAACCCATTGAAGTGTTTTTTGGTCTTTCGATATTGATGATGAATTTTTTGGGGGACGATTTGTTGGTTAAATAAAATCTCTGAGTTTGCTATGGCAATCTTTTAAATAAAATAGGATTTGGATTAAACTCACTCAAATTATTTAAAATAAAAAAAATTCTCCAATCATGGATGGAACACAATAGATCTCCTCAAATACGATTGACATTACATTTTCTCTAACTTAGACTTCTTCACTCATAAATAGAGACGTTATTATTATTTTATTATTCTTGTAAAAGGTTTAAGTATTTAGGGAATAAAAAAAACTCCTATTTGGCAATTTTGAACATGTTTTACTCCTATTTGAGCAAGACTAACTGGATATCATTGGAACTGTGGGTGTTTGCTACACAAAGACAATGAACAATGTCTACTCTCAAAAAATATTCAAGTTTGTCCTGCGGGTCACTTAAAAAATCCAAAAAAAAACTCCCAAGGCATTATCTATATGACATAGTTAGGCCAAATTACCAAATTGGTAAAAAAAAAAAAGAGGGTGTCTTACCAGATTGGTAAAGAAACCATTTGAGACAAATTGGTAAAAAAAGAAGAAGCCCCTGTGACAAATTGGTCAATTTTTTTGAGTGAGACACTTCCGATCCTCGATTTTAGAATTCCCGACATTTCATATATTAACTTATTAAGTATTGTGAAATTGACATTTTCAGTCTTTCTACATTGATTTTGTCATCAAAATGGGAGGACTAAAAATGCCAACAAACGTGTTTGATAATAGTAATTGTCTACATTGATTCAGTCTTAATTTAGCTATTTGCAATTAGCTTTTAAGACGTAAAATGATCATTAAGGGTATGGATTTAAAAGTTTATATATTTAATTAAATTTTATTTCTTTTATTTTTAGTAAGTCTTGGAAAAAGTTTGAAAAATTATATTTACATTTATTTTAAATAGCCACTCACACTATCATTTTTAAAATATGTATATTAATGCGAGAACGCACACATAAATTTTAGTATTAATATTTTAAATATGACTATTTATTAAATTTAAAAAAAAACTACTCGATTCTGTTAACTTTTTTAAGTAATTACTTTCATTAGCGGTTTGAAGCAAAATGTTAATAACTTAGCTATTTGCGATTAAATGTTAAGACATAAAATGATCATTAAGGATATGAATGTAGAAGTATATATATTTAACTTAACTTTATTTTATTTAGTTTTAATATGTCTTGGAAAAATGATAGTGTTAGTAGTTATTTAAAATAAACGAAGATACTAATTGCAACATTTTCCGAGACATATACGTAATGATCATTTTACATCTTAAATACTACTCCCTCCGTCCCGCAAAATAGTTCCTGGTTTCCTTTTTTGGGCTGTCCCAAAAAATAGTTCACATTTCCCTTTTTGGAAAGTTTTGTGTGGTTCACATCATTTACCTTTTTCTTACTCAACCACAATCATACACAGGGCCGGCCATGTGGGCATTTTCCCTAGACACTTGTCTAGGGCCCCCAAATATTAGGGGCCTCCAAAATTTTAAAAATAGCCATTAGTTTTATACGTAGTTTTAAAAATTTTAATACGGTATCTTTAATGTGAATTGATTAAATTTCAATTCTCACGGCAGTTCGGCGGACTCCTGCCGATTGCCGACATTCAAAGTAGATATCGAGAGCTTCATGCGATTCTTTCTTACTCTGTATTTTCTTATTTCTTAGTTCTTATTTTCTTATTTCTTTCAACTTTTAGAAGCTGTTCTCTTCGCCTGATCTGAATGTTTCTGATCTGAATTTTTTAAGTTCTGATCTGATCTGATCTGAATTTTTCTGATCTGATCTGATCTGATCTGAATCTTTCTGGTCTGATCTGATCTGATCTGAATCTTTCTGATCTGATCTGAATCTTTCTGATCTGATCTGAATGTTTCTGATCTGGTCTGATCTGATCTGAATGTTTCTGATCTGATCTGAATCCTTCTGATCTGATCTGAATCTT